TGTTTACTTTACACTTTGCCATACAGACTACACATTAATGTTTACTTTACACTTTGCTATACAGGCTACATATTAATGTTTACTTTACACTTTGCCATACAGACTACACATTAATGTTTACTTTACACTTTGCTATACAGGCTACATATTAATGTTTACTTTACACTTTGCCATACAGACTACACATTAATGTTTACTTTACACTTTGCTATACAGGCTACATATTAATGTTTACTTTACACTTTGCCATACAGACTACATATTAATGTTTACTTTACACTTTGCCATACAGGCTACATATTAATGTTTACTTTACATTTTGCCATACAGACTACATATTAATGTTTACTTTACAATTTGCCATACAGGCTACATATTAATGTTTACTTTACACTTTGCCATACAGACCACATATTAATGTTTACTTTACACTTTGCCATACAGGCTACATATTAATGTTTACTTTACACTTTGCCATACAGGATACATATTAATGTTTACTTTACACTTTGCCATACATACTACATATTAATATTTATGTTAAACTGTGTCATTTGGTCCACACTGTTATCAATTAGGTGTTTATCATCTCCGATACATTAACTGCAGCAGTTCAACTACGGTCCAGACATAAAACCACCTACATATTAAAACTCCCACACAGTTCAACTACAGTCCAGACATAAAACCACCTACATATTAAAAACTCCCACCTCTGCATACTTCATATACAACTACCTGGACAAAATATATTTTTATTTTAAGAAACCTTTTTAAATGAAGTTATGATAATACTGTATGTATGAGATTAAACTTTATGTAACATGACCAACTTACCTACTTTTATATAACGACATGGAAACATGTGACCACTAACGGTGTGTTTCAGACAAAACGTCTCAGGAAGATGGTCATTTCTCAATCCACTGTTAATATAAAACACATGTAAGAACTTATTACACAATATTTATGAATAACCCTATTGTAATTATACACAGAGTGAGACTAAAATAGATTTGAAGTTCTCTGGAATTATAGAAACAAAAGTCTACATTACAGGAGTCAGCTGCAGTCTGAGTAGACAAATTACTTGATATAAAGAATTTCATACAAACAATGTAATTATATCTTATCAGCAGTAAAAGATTAGTGACACAAAAAATGTAATTTTATAATTAAACATGGTCAATTTAACACATTATGTGTACATAATCATGTAGAATAACATAGCATTTTAAGGACCTACAAAAAAAAACAAATTAGAAAGTGGTCCACATATCCAATCTTTAAGCTCTTTCAAAACCCTTGGGTATAGAAACCTTGTCATTCTTTAAAATTACCAATTTTTTTTGCTTCTCTTCACATATTAATCTAAGCCTAGCATTCAGCCCTAGTGACATACTCAGAATCTTCTCCCCCCAGTTAAGTCTTGGCAGTATCCTCAACAGAATTAAGTTATGTCCCTATCTTTAAATGCCTTATCAAGCCACTGTACTTATCAATTAGCCCCTCTGACCTATCCTTCCTTATATTATTAGCTCTTTTGTGCATAATAAAGATTGCATCCTTTAATAACCTATATATATATACTGTGAACCGTGGTGTCTGCCCGAGTGTTCGCCTGTCTCCCGTTTACAGCAGGCACTGAAATGAGGGGAGAACAGGCACGAATAATGTTGATGCCAAATTTGATTTTACAAGCAGGATATTCAACTTAAATTGTTAGGAATTAATCACATTTCTAAGTGTGACGTAACTTAAAAAATAAAAATGTAGATTTACCATACATTACTTTTGATTGACTCTTAGCCTGACTGAAATGCTTAACAATTACTTTTCGTGGCGGGAGGTATAAGTAGCTCAGAGCTTTGGCTCTGAAACCAAGAGTGCAACACAATTAACCTTTTTAAAGTCCATGAAATAATTTAAATTGATAGATTAACTTAAACTTTTCCTGTCACTAGGGGTGGATACTTTTGATTGTCTCCTACGTTCAATCACTTTCATCCTTCACCTCTTCCTCTGGATAGTGTAATCTTATTCGTATCCCTATTTACCCTACTGACTATTCTAACCAAATGCATGCTTGCTTTCTTCTCTCAAAGATCTGTGAAAGATACGCTAGGCTCAAGTTAATTAAGTCAACATTAGCAGGATGATTTGCCATCAACAGTAGTGGAGGCCAGCAGGTTATAGGAGATTTTATGTTTGCTTTCTCGTATAGGTGGGTATGCAAGGAAGCCAAGAACCAAGTGGTTTATTGCTGTCCTTATATAAAGTTAAAGAAATAGTAACAAATATTATAGGGTTAACATGCTATGTTTATAAGTAATAAAAATCATTTTAAGAAAATGTAATAAAAAGTGCCAAAAAATTTATATGTAACAGCACTTACATATAATTTGTTTTTAATTACAGGTTCTAGGAGTCAAACCTAGGAAGTATCATGCAAAATCTTGATAATCTTACCTATCAAGCAGCTCAATCATGTTATCTTCTTTCATGCTTCCAAAAACCTTAAACTTTTTAAGATTACAGACGTGTGTTTTTTCATACTTTCCAAAGGTTATTGACTGTACTATTGCTGGTTGCTCCAGTTTCAGGATCAGGAACTGTGAAAAGGTTAAAAACAGGAAAGATGCATAAGTAATCCTATTACAATACTTAAATTTACCAGTTTTTTCTGAAATTAGATGTAAAAAAAAGTATTTATGTTACTGGGATGTTTAAATAAATATTATTTATAATTTAACTGATTTAATGGATATCTGAGTCACTTTGATCTTCAGAGTAGAAACACGTAGCCTTCTCAAACTTGATGAATAAAGTACAATTTGCTGTTTAATTTCTTTTAATCTTAAAACAAACTTTACCAAGATACACAGGGGAAGGATCATTCACGACCTGGTAGAAAACAGTTAAAAATGGTATATCATTAGATTGACTTTATAAAATAATGTTTTGTACCAGAACTCGACTTTTGTTGTTCATGCTCTCTGATTAAAGTTTATTTACGACTGATATGACATTAGTTCAGTAAGTCTTTAACAATGTAGCAACATATTTTCTTTGAATGAAACACTACAACAGCAAAAATATTTATTGAAATTAATTTGCAACGTGCTGATGATTTACTTAACTTGAATGTACTCAAATAATAAGAATCTGTTTAGCAGTTTCAATAAATGTCACCAAATAGGATTTTTTTATAAAATATTTTGTTACCATTTGAAATATATAATATCTATTACTTAATTGCACATCATCACCAAATTACCCTAACAGCAAGTTAACATTTAAGCTTAAATTATTAAATGACATAGTATAATGTATTTACATGCAATATATCCCTGGTACTTGACTTATGAATCTTATGTTGCTACAATTCTGTGGAAGTTTTATTCAAATTAAGTAAATGCTGTAAAAGGTTATTATTTAGTGAATCTATTGAAAATGTTCAATAAACCAGTCTTAAGATAAAAAAAAATCACAATTTTATAAAGTTTCTATTAGTAGCATAGCCAGAAAAATTGTTTTACTGACACACACATATATAACTATTTAAATTCAAATTTCACAGTATATCTAAATGATTTATATGAAATGTTGGAAACACCCCCTATTGAAGGCTTTTATTCATACTATAAATTATATACATATACCATTTTTCTGACTTCTAATAAACCAAATATTGTATTGTGATAATTTTCAGAAAACACCTATTGTATAACACTCTTTTTTCCTCTGGTTTTACAGTTATTTAACACATTAATAACGACTGTAGTTAAGTTTGAAGGATTACTAGTAAATTTACATATCATTGCACCATCAGAGAGACTTAATGCTTTAAAATACCAATTTATATTAACAGCACTAAAAATGTACTAAACAGATCTATTAAATTTGACAAATTATTTTAATAAAAACTGCAACAGCCTACAGAATTGTATCATAGAAACATAAGATCTATGTTTCTGGAACTCTACAACATTTAAACAAACCCTTATCATTCCTTCTGATTACCTTATCAACTCTAATACGTTAGGTGCAGAGATAAGAATTCAACATTATGTTTCTTATGCTGTCAGATGTCAAACATTGTTATATAAGGTTCCAACAGACAGGTGTTTCCTTACCTGTGGAGGGTTGTTTGAGTCTGAGGACCATCTTGATGACTGATCATTTGGTTTATCAATCAAAATATTTCTAAAAATATAATTAAAAAATACATTACTTCCTATTCATAAAAGCTAAATTTTTTTTATATATATTAGTGCAACTGATAACTTCAAAATATTTATATAATGATCAAAAACCATGATAATGTTCATAATAGGGATCACATTTCCTTACTTTTTATGATCCCTATTTGCAGGTTTTTAAATTCCCAATTTTTTTATTTATCTTGTCATACTTAGTACAGCAGCCCTGTCTAAATGTCCATGTTATTTTATTACAAAACCTGTTTAGCTGTGACAAAACAATTCACAGAATGGAATGGACATCTTTCAAAACACTAGGGAGAAGTGAAGAAAAAAACAGGTTTACATTTTGTAAACATATTTTATCTACAATAATAGTTCAAGCTAACAGCTGGTGTTTCCGTATTATTTAAGTGAGGTATACTCCTGTTTCTTTGATTAATTGTATTGTTTTTACTACTTTATATATCAAATGTCACTATATTGTTATGACAGCGGAAGTCACGCTGGTAGCACATGTGTGAATGAGTTTCTCGAATTATTAGGGAACTCCTCGATCTTTGTCGAAGCCTCTTTGTTAGTATATAAGCCTGGCAGAGAAAGCCTGCGGTAATGAATGAAGAGAGTTCTGGGTAATTTACGATTCTGTTTCGAGCTAGTGTGTGTTTTGTTATCGAGATTGTGAATCGCTGTCATTTATAGTGTGTATTATAAAAGTAGTTAAGTTTAAAGTGATGAGAAACATATTGATTGTGAAATTACTGTGTGCTAAAAGTTTGTATTGAGGAAGAATAAACTGGTTTAACCAAGAAAGGACTTGTATCTCTGAAGTTTCTCGGAAAGAATTTCTACCGGGAATTATCGAACAAGCAGATACACAACAATATTATATTTTGGTTTACTGTTTATTATTATACTTTGATTATAAAGACTGCTTTGCATTGTTAGCTTAATACATGTATTTAGTACTGACCTAAATATTCAAAACTCATTAGACCTCAAGAGATTTTATTTGGATTACAACCCTATAGGAACTCAACTGACAAAACAATGCACTACAATGTTATACGTAGAAACATATTTAATCATCTATACTTATTGTTAGGTTGATTTTTAAGTTTCATTCTTAAGCGTATAGCTACTCTGATTGTTATATGACATTATATTAAATATACTTCATACAATCAACACCTGAAACTGTCAGCACTTTGTAAAACTCATAATTACAGAACTGAGGAAAACAAAGACAACTGTACATTTCACTTATTACATCTTGTCAGTCTACATATGCTTTACTGATGAGTTAGCATCTTATTTCTTCAAAATACTTGGTTTTGGTTATTAAACCTATGCTTTGATTAACATTCAAGGCTTAGCTCTAGGTTTAGAATTAGTATAACCAGTAAATGAAAATTTCAAGGTTATCTTCTACATTCCAAGTAGTTTCTGCAGTGACTTCTTTCACAACTTATCTGGTCAAGATCTGGAGTGTCTTTTAGTAATATTAGAGTGAAACAGCTTTAAATGTTTTTAATAACACAGGTTTTAAATCATTTAATGAAATTCAAAATTTAAAGTTTGATACTAATTGTTGTTGAGTTTCCTTTGTTACTAACAACAACCTTGTGCAATAAGCAACATAATAAAGTGTTAATTTCTTTTTAATAAACAAATTATTCATTACAAACTGTAATTTTGAAGGTAATGAATTGTACTGCAAAGGATTTATACTTTTACGTAATGGTAAACTTTTTTGATCTGTCTGACTGTGTAGCTAAATTGACTCCTTTGGGAAATCTTTTTCTGCATTTTCAAGAAAACTGGTGGGAGAAATGTCATCTTTTAAACTATTATATTACTGGAGGTATACAGATGACTATTTTCTAAAGATCCTGATTTGTATTTCATAATAGCGATGATAATTTTAAATGTGAAGTTTACCACAAAAAAGATGTTTACTGGTTTGTATTTTAAATTTACGAGCTACAGGTAAGTTTTGTTTTGGTAAAATGTAATCCACCATGCTTATAAACTCACACGAACCTAATTTGGTTTTAATAAATAATTTGATAACATCAAGAATGGTTTTACATAAGTGTAATATTAGTGATTTTACAAAAAGTTGATTTTTAGTTTTATTCTAAGTTTCTAGCTTGCTCTGAAGAAAAGTTAATATTACTTATTTACCAAAATTGATGTTGATAAACAGACGCTGTGTGTTAAAAAACAGCTATATACCCACCTTCTAATGTTCTTACATAATCAGTTAAGATTTTCAAACTTGGGTGTTATCTACACTGTTCATTATGAGGATCTTAGCTGGAAAGATCAACTAGTGTTCATCAATTTGTCTTTGTTGCAAACAAGGATATCTTCCCTGAGATGGTCCAAACAAGGATATCCGAGATCTGCCTTGAGACGGTCCAAACAAGGATATCCGAGATCTGCCCTGAGATGCTCCAAACAAGGATATCCGAGATCTGCCCTGAGATGGTCCAAACAAGGATATCCAAGATCTTCCCTGAGACGGTCCAAACAAGGATAACCGAGATCTGCCCTGAGATGGTCTAAACAAGGATATCCAAGATCTTCCCTGAGATGGTCCAACAAGAATATCCGAGATCTGCCCTGAGATGGTCTAAACAAGGATATCCGAGATCTGCCCTGAGATGGTCTAAACAAGGATATCCGAGATCTGCCCTGAGATGGTCTAAACAAGGATATCCGAGATCTGCCCGAGATGGTCTAAACAAGGATATCCGAGATCTGCCCTGAGATGGTCACAAGCCAATTTAAGGATACCAAACAGATCAAGTGTAGTGGAACATGCCTCAGGTAATTAACATGGTTGTATGTTCATATTATCTTAAGATATTAAGTAAGGCTATTAACAAGTTACGTCTCTGTACATATATATAATAAAAAAAAAAGTCACAGTCTACGTCAGTTCAGCATCCACCTTGCTACTTATAGTAATATTTTATCTAAATCTTATGTATTTTAAAAACACCAGACATGATAACAGTAGTCAGTAAAGGGAAGGCCTCACTTTCTTACACCAGACATGATAACGGTAGTCAGTAACGGGAAGACCTCACTTTCTTAGTCGCTACAGGTTTAAAGACACCATACATGATAACAGTACTCAGCAAAGGGAAGCCCTCACTTTCTTAGTCGCTACAGGTTTAAGAACTCAGTGAAACCTTTTAGTATGTTTAATTTATATGTAACATAATGTGATGTTGGTAAAATAGAAGTGGAAGGCTCAATTAGCCCATCACAGGGCATTTCATTCACTTGGTCATATAGCATTAATTTGGTGGGAGAATAGCAACAAGTTTTACTAAACACTGGCTTTTCACTAGTGGTTACAATACTATGTTCAGACAAATCTGTTAGGTCAGGCTTATTGTTAAAAATATCTGCATATTTTAATTCAAAGTTGTTTTAACTGTTTGCAATCTTTACTCTTCAAGTGTGAACACTGTACTTCTTTGATTGGTACTTTTTCAGCCTCGGAGTGATGCCTAACAGATGGCATATTTAATTCAAGAACAAAAAAGTTTAGGGTAGCTTTGTTTTGCTTGATAAAACCTATTCCAATGAGACAAAATACGACTAAGTACAGCAGAACATTGGTCCACAATGCTATTTATTACCAATGTCCTAGCAGTTGACAGTCATTACATCTGCAAGATACGTGTTGGATGCATCACTGGTGCTAGAGAGTGGAATCAGTTTAAATTTATCCAGTTACCATCACCCATTACAACCATGGCAGGCACATAACCTAACATTGACAGTTGATAATGTACACACTTGAAAGATTCATCATTGGTGCTATACAGTGCAATCAGCCAAAAGTTATCCAGAGTTACCATCACTTTCAGACCAAGGTCCGACTGGTCTAGTCTTCACTGCGGAACACATCTGCACCTGTTCCATCAATACTGACACAGACTGCTTCAAACTTGACACAAAAGCTTTGCTAACTTCCATAGTAACAGTTCTGTTTCAAGTTAACTTATATTTAACTAAACTTAAATCATTGCTGAATTAATCACTCAAAACTGAACTGAAAAACAATCCACTCAAATCTCAAATACCCTATATGAAAAAGTCTCTGTTTGGGCACCAATGTAATGGTCTAAAAAAGAAACAGCTACTACAACCAGGGTTGAAACACAAAAAACAAGTCTACTGAACTGTAACAACCACAGACATCCAAAACAAAACTTTCAAACAATTGGAATATAAAGTTTATCAAAACATAGTTAATAAATATGTGTCTTAACCGGACTTGATACTTACGTTAATAAACGATACAACATAAATATCAAGGTTAATAATTATTTCAATCTTTTTCCCAATTTCCTTATTTATTGAAATAATTACTAACCTTGATATTTATGTCGTATTGTTTATTAACATTAGTATCAAGTCCTGGCCAGACACACATTTATTAACTATGTTTTGATAAACCTTATATTCCAATTGCTTGAAAGTTTCATTTTGGATTTCTGTAGTTGTCACTGTTAAATAAATTTGTTTTTGTAATCAACTCATTTTTCGGAAAACGTAACTTAATGATAAAGCAAAACACAAACGGAATTATCAAAAGTCCATCATCAGTAATCTAGAGGTACAAAACAAACAAGCAATATTTGTAATTACAATAGAACTATGATAAACATAAGAAATAAACAATTTGAAAATACAAATATAACACAAGAAAATGAAGACTGAGGCACAAGTGAAATAGTTAGAATAGGTTTAAATCCAGTGAAGACTGTGTGTTATTTAGTGACAAGAGAAGAGTTTTTATGTATAATGTTTTTTTTATAAGAAGTTCAGTATCATGCTTGGCTACTGAGAGAGTTTTATAGTTTGACAGAAAAATCTGATGTCCTGTTTCTATATTGTGTTGATAGATAGTGCAGTTGGGTGGGTTTGTAACATTTCTTCCAGTTTTTATAGATATGCCCATGTGTTCACACGCTCGTACTTTAAGGTGATCTTTGGTTTCACCAATATAGGAGGCCTTACAGTCTCCGCACGTGTAAGAGTAGGCAAGATGCTTCCTACTATCATTTGTTTTTGTATTTCAATCCTGGTTGTAGTGACCAGTTGTGTTTTAGGCCATAATAGTAAGTGTTACTAACACATGAATATGTCTATAGTAGAAAGAATGTATGGCAGTTTAAAAACTTGCTGAATTTATATTACCACACATCGTCGAAAAACCACTCCTTTCACAATGTACGGCAGTTTAAAAACTTGCTAAATTTATATCACCACACATCGTCAATAAACAACTCCTTTCACAATGTACGGCAGTTTAAAAACTTGCTGAATTTATATCACCACACATCGTCAATAAACAACTCCTTTCACAATGTACGGCAGTTTAAAAACTTGCTGAATTTATATCACCACACATCATCAATAAACAACTCCTTTCACAATGTAGGCAGTTTAAAAACTTGCTGAATTTATATCACCACACATCGTCAATAAACCACTCCTTTCACATATAATAATTACAGGTACCCAGCAGCCAGGAAAAATCTTTCAAATACCACATATCCAGCAGCCCAAGAATTTGAATATTTGACATACAAAAACAATAATGAAAATAATACTAATAATAATTTCAAAAATTAATAACAAAATTATATATATATATATATTATACATATAAATAACCCTATTTATGATCATGAAATTATGGATTACCACGTATCTAGCATTTTGTGGATTATTCCCAGCAATTTGTCGCAAAAAACACTAAACAACAATGACAATCAATATTTATTTTTCCAGTGCAAAAGTTTTATTGAGATCATTTCATCGAGCATGAAGACAAATCAGTCTCATAATTTACTATTACTCTGAGTCAAGTGAGACTGAGAGGTGATCGTAGCTCATGATAATTCAAATTTTTGGTCTAAGTATTTGGAAGACCTATCAATCTGCCAAGCATTTAGTCACTACGTATAATATTGATAATCAGAAACGACCCCAATGGGCATGTCAAACCCAATTTATTGAAATTATTTTCTTTTGACTATAGTGTTGACGTGTGAAACAGAAATGAGACTTGTCACTTAATTTCTCAGGTGGTCAATATTTAATGTTTAGGTCATCAATAGATCTACCTAATTAATCATAATCTTTTTCCTTCATTCCCTTATCATATGCAAGTTATGGTGGATTGGTCGATAGATTATTCATCTAAATTCTAAGTACATAATTTTCATCCTGTTTTATTTAAAATTGCAGAAAAATAAGAATATAATTTATTGGCACACCATCTTTAGTCTAATTTTTGTATTTTACTCAAGTTTAACTTCAGCCTAAAAGTAAAAAACAGTATAATGTAGGTATAACGTTATGCCATTAGCCTAATTTAAAAATTACGTAAATTACACATAACGAACTTATACTAAAGCTTATTTATCATAAGAGCTTAATTTGACAATATGATTTTAAGCTGAAGACATTTAAATGTAAACCCATACTCAGGTACGTAGCACGATGAAAAACTGGAGCATTTTTGAATCGAATACTTTAATTTGCGCAAACCTTCAGTCGCCATTTCTTAAACTCTGAATATTATTTATCTAAAGCTGTAGTGCCCTCTATGAAATAGCAAAGTACTTGAAAATTAAACAGAAAATTGGCAATAAAAATATATTAATAAATATCAGGCATTTGAGATTTCGCATAATTAATTTTGATTGTTCAATCACAATGAAAAAGATTATTCATAATCACAAGACTTAAATATAAAATAAATGTAAAATCATGATATCTAAGTTTAAGAAGGCAAAATAAACGAATGGAAAACTAATTATAACTGAAAAATAGTGAAAAAATAATAATTAATTGACAAAAGTTCCTATTGTTGGGCTGGCTCTTTTGGATTATTCAGTGAAAATAAAACGCAAAGTCCAGTCCCTTTAATGAAAGCGAAAGTGTTTTATTTCACCAACTATAAGTTCCACATACCTAAGGTAGTCCTACGTTCACAAATAAATAACGACTGAGTTGTTATTGTACTGCGCTCAAAACTATTCGAGGATTAATTACGCAAGCCGTCCCGAATTTTTTAATGATAGAATATTAGGAAAGAAGATTAGTCATCACTACCCACCACCAACTCTTGAGCTACTCTTTGCCAATGAATAGACTGACACATTAAAACACCCTCACGGCTGAAAGGGCGAATTTCGATCCCGCGACCCGCAGATTGCAAGTGGAGCACCTTAACCACCAGACCATGTGAAGCCCTGTAACGTCTCAATAGAAATTCCAACTTGCTAACTTTCACTTATGTATACGGTACTTCATGTATCTTTATTACGTCATTGAAAACAAAGTGAAAATCTGCAGCGCTGAATTAACTAACTGCCTGGATCAATAATAATTTAACGATGTTTTCTAATTTGGACTAACATATGTTTTATATAATTAATATCGTTTCCTTGACTATCAATAAAATTCCAGATATTAAGTCTTGCACTCGTCATGTATAGTTAAAAATTTCCTCTAGTCAAAACAATTCAGATGTCCAAGTTAATAAAAACAGCCTATACTGACCCTTCTATGGATAACGAAATCCCTTGAACAACTCTATTACAAAAAATAAAAAAATAACAACAACAAAAAACGATGGTACATTAAATTTAAACTTTCCTAACTAAGAATAAAGTAATTCTTCACGATTAACAGCATTAATATTTACAAATATAGACACTATATTCATTAATTGTATGAAAAATGACAAATATAATTTTGACTAAGAAAATAAAATCTCCATTTTTAATTCGTTTCCTATCCCATAAACTGTCCATTCGTCACTGTTGTTAGTGACTTATAGTATAAAGATGGGATAACCTCTTATTTTTTATCAACATTTGCAGTCTTATTACTAGGGTAGTTCTTTCTGGGTAGGTGTTTGAGAGAATCCACTATGGCTTCATCTCTGGTGACACTCTGGAAGTGGTCTCGACAGGAGCCGTGTGTTCGTCAACAGTTTGATTTATCTTTGTCACATTCTGTTTTGAAGCTAACCATTCTCCTTTGAAAATCATGATGAATGAGGTTTGGCTTGGACCATTTGTGTTTATGAATTTTGTTCTGTTGGACTTTACAGGCTGACTGTCTCTGTTACTATGTGTTTCCATCATTTTTACTGGAAGTTCAGTCTCTGTTACTGTATTTGTCATGTAGTCGACCAGAATTTCTCGGTTACAGACCATGAAACTATTTGATGCAAGTCTAACCTTATCTTTACGTTTCCACATGAAGTTAATTCCAAATATACACTCTTCTTCAATGTCAATTATACACACATCATGTCATATAGATCAACTTCCTATGGTGGGGATGACTTCCAACTTCCCCTTGCTGTAACTTTATGATACTTGCTGTTCACGTTAATCCATTTTCTTCCTTCATCTCCGTAGTCAAGTTTCCTATTTCAAGTTTCCACGTCGATCAACATAGCTGTAGAGCTATTTTCGATCTGCATGATTTCAAGACTTCTAGTCAAAGAACCCATTGACTCATGGACTAATTTTTATAAATAATGCTTTTTGTTTGTTTGTTTGTAGTTAAGCACAAAGCTACAAAATAGGCTACCTGTGTTGTGCCCACCACGGGTATCGAGACTCAGCTTTTAGCGTTATAAGCTTTCGGACATATAGTTGAGCCATAAATTATGCACTTCTTATCTATCTCACTTGGAACAGGTGGAATATTCTCATACACAGAATATAGTCTCCTTGATTTATAACAGTTTCGGATGTAATATCCAAATTTTCCACAATAATTCCTGGCAACATCTTTTAATTTGTATTGAAACACCTTCTTTCATTCTGTGTAAAGAGTTGTCTAATTAAGGCTTCAAGTTCTTCTAGACTTTAAAGATAACTTTTCTATATTATTTGATCTAACGATTTCATAAATCCTAGATAACGGTTTTACTAATTTATTTAGAGCTTTAATGGTTTATGGTTTATCCTATTCCATAATTCATTTAATGGTGTTTGAGGGTGGAATTATTTAATAAGATGCAGAGAAAAGTGTAGCTGTATTGTTACTTGCATCTATCAGTTCAGTTTCTCTATGTTTTATCATGGCGATGATATTCTTCTAATTCATTGATGTTGTTATTATAGTCCTTTTGTACATTTCCAATGGCTTCTTAAATCTTGTTGTTTTAATCCTTCTGTACATTATGGCTTCCTTGATCTTGTCGTTGATGTTAATAAGTTTTTTCGTAGTAATTCTTCTGTAAATCTTAACCTCGTTCTTGCGATTCCTCTCTTAAATTCCTGACTTTTTAATTTTCTACCCCTTTCTTCTCGATCTTCTTTTAATTTGTTATTTCCTTCTTTTTGATCACCTTAAATTTTTCATTATTTGCACTAAATTTTCGATCTCGCTTTGAGCAAATGTCGTCATCTTGAAACTGGATTTGATTTTTGTTGAAACGGTTTCTATTGTTGACTTTTGAATTATTTGGTGAAAAATAAGAATTCAAATTTCATTCTACTTGATGGTAACAAAAGCGTTTTATTTTTTAGACTATAAATTCTTCAACTTATATATGTTCCACGATAGGCTTAATTTCACAAATATATTTTTAAAGAAACTATTAGTTATCAAGCCACACTCACATCAAGTGACGTGAAAACTCTAGACAAAACAATAAAAACATATCATATCTTTATTCAGCTTGTAGTTTTGTATGTCCAGCTAACTTCTCTAACAATTCTGGAAGTATCAGGACCAAACTTAACAGGTAGACTTTGGGTGGCTCGGGTGTGTCCTTATCTACATGGTATAGCCCTCTATCAAAAGGGGTTAAAACGTTCTAGGTGGGTAAACCGGGCATAATGGGGTCTAAAATTAGATTATCAAGGTCACTAAACCTGAATGTGGCATCGACTTCTGTGTTCCTGGCCCTCATTGTTATCCCTTGTTTGAAACCGTGCTCACACTGGGTAAACCGGGCATAATTGGGTCTGAAATTAGATTATCAAGGTCACTGAACCTGAATGTGGCATCGACTTCTGTGTTCCTGGCCCTCATTGTTATCCCTTGTTTGAAACCGTGCTCACACTGGGTAAACCGGGCATAATGGGGTCTAAAATTAGATTATCAAGGTCACTAAACCTGAATGTGGCATCGACTTCTGTGTTCCTGGCCCTCCTTGTTATCCCTTGTTTGAAACTGTGCTCACACTGGGTAAACCGGGCATAATGGGGTCTAAAATTAGATTATCAAGGTCACTAAACCTGAATGTGGCATCAACTTCTGTGTTCCTGGCCCTCCTTGTTATCCCTTGTTTGAAACTATGCTCACACCCTCACTCACAAGCTGGTGGGGAGAACTTGGAAATGTCCTCTGGTACCATTTGGATATGTGGGTATGAACACCTCCCTCCCCCTTGGGGTAGCTATAGGTCTTCTTCTTCATCAGTGGGTTATGAGTAATTTAATAAACATAATTACTATTAATGTTATTTAAATGTTTTGATTGTTTGTTATTCTGAGTTGAGTGAAGAATAGATTAGTTGAAAATAAATATTTAGTCAGAGTTTATTCTTATTAAAATGACTTTAGTAATGTGATTTATATGGTAAAGCTTAATTAACAGATGTACAGTGTTGGTTGGTATAAAAATGGCCTCACTATAACATTATCACTATTTTTTTTTAATGTTTTGGCACGTGTGTAATGTTCAATCTTAAAAACTCACAATTTAAAAAAAACAACGATTATTTTCTACACAATTCCATAAAAAAAGAGATTGATTCCAATATCCAAATTACTAAAATGCAATAACTTACTGAACAGGATAAAAAAGTGGTAAAAAAACAACGATGAAACAATCTCATACACTCTACATGTTTCGACGTATACTACTGCGTCAGCCTCAGGAGACTGGAAACAATCTCATACACTCTACATGTTTCTACGTATACTATTGAGTCAGCCTCAGGAGACTGGAAACAATCTCATACACTCTACATGTTTCTACGTATACTATTGCGTCAGCCTCAGGAGACTGGAAACAATCTCATACACTCTACATGTTTCTACGTATACTATTGCGTCAGCCTCAGGAGACTGGAAA